ATTGTTTGAAATGGCGATGTGAAGAGTTAATCATTTATAAATATATTGCGTAAGACAAAATTTAACTCAGTGAAGCCAAGAGTACACTCCTAAAAGGAAGTACGTGATTCATTTTCCACATAGAAACGTGTCTTTTGCATGATTATTTGACGAATACTGAGGTAGTCGTGCAATCGATCGATAGTCGTGCTAGTAGTGGAAGTTTGAGAGAGTTTTGGGTTATGAACTTCAAGTGTATTCCTACGAATGGTGAGGTTGATATCGCTGAGGTGTGATGGGCGTGACTGCGGACTTCTTTCGCATATGTATATATGCGTTTCTTTTTTCATTGATAGCCGTTGTAAGGATTGGATGATGCCAAGGAACGACTAATGTGCGTAATTGCTTTGCTGGAAAAAAAGGAGCTCTGAAAAACTCGGCCGGAGGGGCTGCCAGGTGCTTACTCGGGTGATCTAAACGATTTTTTGTGCTTTTTTTCTTCACTGGAAGTTTCTTTAGCGACTATAGGTTTGTAACTGAAGGCCACTTCTCACAACGCACATACAGTCGCGAAGTCTATCTTTGAAATAATCTTTTAAAAAATACTCAGGCTCAGCGCTCCGACAATACTTGTCGATCCAATGAGTCACAACTTGGGAGCGATTACAGAAGGATACAGACGGAAATTGAGAGCTGAGCGTTGACCAGCTCATAAAATCAGTACATACCCCAACTCTTTGCTTACTGGTGGCGCTCACCACTAATGTATGGGGTCGCGTAATTCCAGTATTTTTAGTCTAATCTTTTATTCCGCGTAAATCAAAACTTCATGGTGCTGGTCTGATTCGGAACACGCTGGCTGCCCGTCTAGGCCAGAGTACCTCCAGGTAACCTCAGGACCTCACCGTCTAGGTTTCCCGGTATCTCCCCCGAACGACATGTACTGGGGGTGATGGGACGACATTACCCATACTCTGCCTTCCACTATATTCGTTCAGAGCGCGCGGCAGATCGGTATGGTTGTATTGCAAGAGCCAGAGAGAAGAGGTGCATCAGGACTGAAAACGGCAGGGAGTTGAGGTCCATTGGGAGATCTACCCGAGGGGAAATATAGCGTGCTCCCGATTCAGACTCTTTCGAGCCATACCTAGGTAATATTAGAAAAAAACCACTGGTTGAATCGATCATTTATTAAAGCTTCATTATTGAACATCAAATCAGTTCTATGCGCTAGCTCGTGACTTTCAAGGATACCAGTTGGTATCGATGGAGAATGAGCATGGTCCAGTGACGTCACCGTTGTATTGATGAATGTTCGGCTTAGTCCATCCACCGAATGCCTTGAAGTTGTTGAAGTTCTGAAATTATACTGAATCAGTTTAGAAGGAAGATTTTAGTGCTGTCGCAGTTTGCGGTACTAAGTTGCTTGTCATATGGACTCAGGAAGCTCCTCCTAAACTCTTCCCGAACAATTTTTCCAGATTCAAGTGTTTGATAGGCCCACATGTCGGAATCCCCACACTTACCTGTGCCTGAAAGGCCTGAGACACCGAAACGCAGGCCTGGTAAGTTATCCAATCTTGTTAAGGCTATAAATGGAGGCCATATACCACGATATTCACTATGCTAAGTTGAACGGAAGTCGGACCGGGGAGCAGAAGTTTATCAGAGCTAAGGCTATGTATGTAGTTTGCAGCATGGCAATCAGTCGCGGACGGTGTGAGGAGGGCGGGATTATGCGACGTCTGGCTGCCTTGGTCCACCAATGGTGATCGCTAAATGATCGGCTGAGAAAGAAAATGACCAGTTGTGGAAGCGCCGCATGTGGAGTCAATCCATCCCTCCCTTACTGCGATCTGATGAACTGCGGTGATACCAACCGTGGGTACACAAAAACTGAGATCATGGTGTGTTACGCTTACCGCTTCATTGTTGTAGGTAGCCCACCACAGCTGTTTGCTCTTCATGCCGGTGTAGTCAAGACCAACAATTGATTGCCAATTGTTGTAGTTGCTGTAAACTCCCCAGCTCTGTCCAAGGCTCTGAAAGAAATATCGCTGATTTTCTTAACTAGCCATATTCTTGAGAAACAACTCGAAAATAATACAAACTAAGAGAGGAAAAGACATTAAAAGAAAAATTCAATAATAACTAGCTCTTACTGTCAATTCTTTTCCCATTTCCTCGATGAAAGCGCGGTTCTTCGTGTGATCGCTTGGCCATGCGTATGTCTCGATGTCAAGCCAGAGCATTCCAACTGTAGTGCCAGCGTTCTTCAAGGCTGTCACAGTTTCAGAGACCTGACAATTACTCAAAATTCATATAGGTTTTACTTGCCGCACTATACCTTTACGTACACATTTTGCAGTACAATACCCGAATAAGCTTACTGTAAATCACCTGTTTGGAAGCACTGGGGCAGGAAGAGGATAGACAAGGGAAGATATATCCGTCAACGTGAGCGAGTCCAGCTGCAACATTGCCTTTTACACTGTTATACTCAAAAGCTCAGATTGCTGTCAAAGTCGAAACGGGGTATTCCCGCCTGGTACTCGGTAACTTCAACAGTTTGTCCACTTGGTAATCCGTAGAAGATATAATTCTTGGAAATCAGATGTTCATAATCTATGGGACGTATACTGGAGGTTTCGCAAGACGCTTCAGATGCTCCATTACTAACTTCTATCGGAGGAGTCATACAAAGGGTCACAGATAAGAACAACGAGATAATCAATACAATAGAACTTTTTGGGATGCGCCATGCAACCGAACTCTTTCCATGATAGTGGAAGTGATGCGGCATCTTTCATCTCTGTACACATTCCCAAAGGTAGTAGTGTTATTCGATAGTGTTATTCGAACAGGGGCTACAGCCTAAACAGCTTTGATGGGACGGGAACCGTCCACGAGCACAGCGCCTCTTTTGGTTGCGCTGCTTCGCTCAGAATCCCTCACCACTTAACTGAAACCCTACATTCTTTTACTTCTGTTAAGTATAAGAACAGCGTTTTGGGAGCCATAGCCAGAGCAAAGTGAACTATATCAGGAGCGGCCCGAAGGCTCCTTGAATCGAATCACTAACCAAAGAGATAGTCAACGCCCTGGTTCTATTAAATCTGATATGAGATCTAAACGGCTGGATTCGGTTGAGAATAAAACCTATCAACGATCTTCCCGATAATTTGACGTGTTCTTCGGCGCTCCCTCGCCGTTTCGCATCAAGTGTTCTATTTTACAAGTTTTTTTTAATTGTTCTAAAGCAATGCACCTGAATGAGCGTTCTTGATGTTCTGAATTCCTTGGCTGTCGACGGCACCATTTGATCGGAAAACTCGCCCAATGAAGAACGAATGTCCGTGAGATTTCATGCAAGTGAATTGCGAAGTAGAGATAGCCTGGAAGGGATCATCAGGTTGTCCGATTGTTTTTCAGACAGGATTCGGCTAATGCATAAAAAAATCTTTTTTTAATGAAAGTTTTAGAATGATTTGACTTTTTCAGCCATTCTCGTTTGATAGAGGTCAGTATAGATGCCATGGTTACAGGGAAGCCTAGTTGCAGGCGAATGTGTGCCTATGAAGGGCGTCTGAACCCAAACACAAACTTTTCACGCACCTTGAGCATTACACTACCTAGCCCTAGTAGCCTCTCAGCCCCCAAATGTACACTTGAAGAATTCGAACTGTAATTTGACAAGGCGCCCACAAGCGTATGGGATCACTATTACTTTGAAACTTTCAAGGTGATGACCTTTAAGGTATGGACTTCATCGCAGCAAAACTGTGAGGCCTCAGGCAACTGCGCCATTTTTCTTGAATTCGAAGCTCTTCAGAAATTCATATCGAGGAATAAATGTGGCGCAGTGATAGGAGGCGGCGCTACCGGACACATGGCTCAATGATGGAATCACGAAATCAGGACAATCAAGTCTCTCATTGTCCCAGGCCAATTAGTTGCTAATCAAGTGATAACAAGTTTGTCTGAGAGAAACACTTCCAACTGCTCATTACATTACTGGAACTACATCGGTTGACAGCTGCAGGTCATTGTATAGGGCTCTCGCGCGCCTTGAAAAATCGCTACAAACGAAAGCATTCCAAGTGAAATCAAATGTGTAGCACATCTGAAAAGAGATCCGCCAGCGCCAAGCAACCTATCTTACTATGTTGTCATTTTGATATGTTGCCGCTAGTACTTATCCGTCCTCACCTCCTCGCCAACGAAAGGTCTCACAGAAACACCTTAATTTGGTAAAAAAATTAGCCCTATAGGATGAGGTCGGAGACCTCGAGAGTGCACCGTGCCCCAGAAAGTGGATGTCTATACGCTTATTTAAAGGCAGTTCCCGCAATCAAGTGGTCCGCGAAATGCCTCCGTGCATTTGGCATCGTTGTCCGCATTCGCAGAGAATATACCACTTTCGTCACTCGAAACGGCGAGATAAAGAAGCTAGAGACGCGTGATTATTGCAACCACGATTACTTTCACTCTGCAAGACAACGGCCTAC